AGTGACCAATGGGCGTCAGCACTGGACACCGCTCAGGAAGCAGGACCTGCAGCCTGGAACTGCCCACTCCCCTCCCATTTACTCGGGGTCTGGTCTCTGTTCATTTCACAGGACCATCCCTGACCTTCCCTCTTTAGGGCGACTGATCTTTAGAGGCTCAGAATTCAGGGAAACTGAGTCTTAGAACCCCTCCAGCCCCCATGCTGGTGCTCCTTCCTAAGGGGTGGGTGCTCATAGGGTGGATAGGGTGGGTGGAGAGGGTCTGTTGCTCCCAAAAAGGACCCGACACCCTTGCCCGCTCCCGGCAGAGAGTTAACGTCCAGTTCAACAACGGGGAGCACGGCTTTGACAACAACGACATGGACATGAAGACCATCTTCCGTGCCGTGGGCCCCAGCTTCCAGGTGGGCCTGGAGGTGGAGCCCTTTGAGAGCATCCACGTGTACGAGCTCATGTGCCAGCTCCTGGGCATCGTGCCAGAGGCCAATGACGGGCACCCGGGTGCCCTGCGGCCCATGCTGCGAACAGGTGAGGGCAGGGGGCCCCACACCCTGGCCTGCTCTCTGCCCACACCCCGGCCTGCTCTGGACTGCACGTGTGTACACGTGGGTGCCTGCACGACTGTGACCAGGACACCTCTCCAGCCCTGAGTGAGGCCACCCCCCTTTCTTTCTCCCTGGATTCGGGGAACACCAAAATTCCTCACATTCCCACAACACATGACCTCTCACAAGCACCTTGTGCATCTCAGGGGTCACGAAAGGGTGAACCAAAGGAGGGGGCAGGCTTGCTCAAGAGGGGGCCGGATGGAGTGAGGGTGGCCCAGGGGGCTGCTGTGCAGAACACACCGCTGGATCCCCATGCCCCACTCCCCATCACCGTAACCTGAGGGCCTCCTTTCTGGAATTTTCCAGTATCAGCCTCCCACGCACACAGCTCCCTATCTGAATCTGACCCATCTTGGGGACAAAGGTCACCTGGAAACTGACAAGGTGGTGACCCTGGAGGGGCCTGGCCGGAGAGGGGTGGGCCCCACTGAGCAGGGCTATGGAGGGCTATGGTAGACAAGGGCCATGGGACCAAGGGAGCCATGAAAGAGGAAGTCAGGGGCTCGTGGGGAGGACCAGAGGACCCTGAGTCTATGGTGGAGGAGCTGGGTAAGGAGCCACCCCTGTCTCCCTCACCGGCCCTCTGGCTTTCCTCAGAGTCTGCTCTCCTGCCTGATGGAGGGTCAGCTCTCCTGCCTGATGGAGGGTCAGCTCTCCTGCCCAGCAGCCAGCCGCTCCTCATGATGGGACTGCTGGGGACCATGATTCTCCTGTCTGAGGTCGCATAACACCCCACGGCTCAAGGTGAGAGACCCAGAAGGCAGAGGCAGGAGGGTGGCCCCATGCTCCCTGACCCTCTACCCTGAGGTCCTAGGCAGCCAGAACAGAGCTGCTGGCCCCCCACCAGGCCAGTGACTACCACTGACCTGGTTGCCACCGAGAGGCAATCATCCTGGGGACCCCAAAGCTGACCCTTCCAGCCTCTCTGCTTCTGGTTTCCAGAGCAGACCACCCAGACCCGTGGCCAGAACTCCCACCCTCCCCCAGATGCCAGAACTCCTCAGCCTCTGGCCAGAGCTGCCACCTACCTCCTTCCTGCCATGCCTCTGTGCTCCACTGGGACAGCTCGGAAGCCATCACAGGGGGTGCTTTTGGGAGCAGAGCTCTGGGACTGTGTTCCTGGAACTCCCCGGGAGCCTCCGAGGACAGTGCTCCCTTGTCTGTCTGTGCGGCCACAGCCTACTAGGCCAAGCAGAAGAAAGTCATTCATTCATCCTGAAAGTATGTAACGGGAGCCAGCTCCAAGCCAGGCTCTGGTCTGGGCTCAGGATATGCAGCAAACAAGACAGTCCAGTCCCTGGAATCCAGGACCTGCCATTTAAAGGCCCAAGAAGGCAGAGAACACACAGCAAATGAATCCACACGAGTGCTCAGAGGGTGGTGATGGCAGAGAATAGGCGGCCACAGGCAGGGATGGAGCAGGGGCTACCTTTTCATTTGTCCGGACTGGAATGGCCTCTCCGAGAAGGTGGATTTAGGGAGAGACCAGAATGACGAGAAGAAGCCAGGCACGCCAGCCTCCAGGAAAGAGATTCCAGGCAGGGGAAAGAGCCAGTGAAAGGCCCCTTGCGGGGGACGGGCCCGGCATGTTCTGGATGAGACAGAAAGAAGGCCAGTGTGCCTGCAGGCTGGCACGCGAGCAAGCTCCAACACGAGCTGACCACAGCCCCGAGACAGGAGGTCATTTGATGCGCACGGCGGGGGTGGGGGAAGCCCCAAGCTGAGCTTACACAGGGTCTGAGGTCCGTGATTCAATGAGTCACTGTCACTGCTGCGCCAGGGACACAAATGGGAGCAGGAAGTGGCCATAGGGCCTAGTGGGACGGTCCAGTGGCAGGGATGGAGAAGCTGCAACGTGCACGGATTCAAAATGCCTGTGCAACATTCCAGGAGTGTGGACAGACTAAGGGGGAGGTGAAGAAAATAGAAAAACGAAGGACGGGTCCGATGCTTGGGTCCTGAGCCACTTGCTAAAATGTTAGGGACAGGAGTCAGGGGAGCCGAGAGTTCTGTTTCGGCCGCAATCAGTCTCAGTGCCAGCAAAGGGGCCACGTGCAGCTGTTCCTGGCACAGGTACAGATGAGTCCACAACCAGGGATGCCGTGCAGTCGGGCAATTTACATTGAGACTTGTCAGTGCAAGCTATGGGACTCAGTGAAAGCCCCCGCCAGAAGGAGTGGACTGAGAAGAGATGGGGCCACAGCATTCACTGGGAAGACGGGGCTGCTGAGATAGGAAAAGCCAAGGGCTTCTCATGAGTCAAGAGAGGAATGAGTCCGGGCGTGGTGGCTCCTACCTGGAACCCCAGCACTTCCAGAGGCCAAGGCAGGAGGATCGCTTGAGCCCAGGAGTTCAAAACCAGCCTGGGCAATATAGTTAGACCCCGTCCCTATAGGAAATTTATTTTTAATTAGCTAGGTGTGGTGTTGGGTGCCTGTAATCCCAGCTACTGGTAGGGGAGGTTGAAGCGGGAGGATCACTTGAGCCCGGGAGGTGGAGGCTGCAGTGAGCCTTGATCTCACCACTGCACTCCAGCACGGGCAAGAGTGAGACCCTGTCTCTACAAAATAAATAAATAAAAGAGAAAGGAGTGGGTTTGGGGTTGAGAGAAGCAGGAATGTGGAGATGCATGAAGTGGAGAGGAACATTCATGCAAAGTGTCACACCCAAAGGGACCAGAAGACCCTTCAGCCCAAACCCCTCATGCAGACGAAGACACTGGAACCCAAGGCGTTAGCTGACTGGTCCAGCAGCACCAAAGAGTGGCCGGTGGCCTGTAAGGTCCTGGTCCTGAGTACGTTCGGCCACAGCGCCTGCCTCTCTAAGCCCTGGGGGCTCTGGTCCTCGAAGCCAGTCTTCCAGCTCTTGTCAGGGACATGATAAGCTTTCCACGGCGCTAGAGACCACAACCATTTGTTCTCCACATAAACTAAGAGAGGGACTCAGAAAAAGTCATTATTCAGACTCACATGCGAGGAAACTGAAGCACAGAAAATCGAAGGCCACGGGACTATGCACATTCTCACGAGCGGCAGCCACAGTGGCGTCCCGGCAAACCAGCTCTCTAGATCCCCCTCAGAAAGCCCTGCTGTTGCCCTTACCCACTTCGTGGTATGGACACTCTCACTGTGGCCCATTTCAAGCTACCAACGTGAGGTCACAGAACGCAAAGCAGGGAAGAAGGCCGAAGAACCATCTTTCGCAAGCAGCATCTGCTGGCCTGAGCAGGCTGCTAAGAGCTGCGGGAACCAGAGTTATCAAGGCAGCCTGGTCAATTCCATTTGGAACTAGAGTGTTCTCTGTGGCCAGCTTCTTTTCTTTTTTTTTAGACAGATTCTCACTGTGCTGCCCAGGCTGGGGTGCAGTGGTGTGATCACGGCTCACTGCAGCCTAGACTTCCTGGGCTCAAGCCATCCTCCCACCTCAGCCTCCTGAGTAGCTGAGACTACAGGTGTGCGTCAGCACGCCCAACTAATTTTTTTATTTCTAGTTTTAAAAAAATAGTTGTTGCCCAGGCTGGTCTTGAACTCCTGGCCTCAAGCAATCCTCCTGCCTTGGCCTCCCAAAGAGCTGGGATTACAGGCATGAGCCAGGGGCCCAGTCACTGGGCCAGCTTCTTTTCTCTAAAGGCAGTGTTGAAAGTACATGTGGCAAATTAAAGGCACATTGTGGGGGCCAGGCATGGTGGCTCACACCTGTAATCCCAACACTTTGGGAGGCTGACGTGGGTGGATCACGAGGTCAGGAGTTCGAGACCAGCCTGGCCAAGATAGTGAAATCCTGTCTCCACTAAAAATACAAAAATTAGCCAGGCGTGATGGTGTGCCTGTAACCCCAGCTACTGGAGACGCTGAGGCAGAGAACTGCTTGAATCCAGGAGGCGGAGGTTGCAGTAAGCCAAGTTCGCGCAGTTCGTGCCACTGCACTCCAGCTTGGGTAGCAGAGTCAGACTCCATCTCAAAAAAAAAAAAAAAGGCAGATTGTGGACCAGACGCAGCCCTTTGCCCTGACTTTACAGAGTCCTCCTTCCCCAGCAAGGAGAACAGGCAGAAGACTAGGGGCTGCTCTTCTCTCTCCTGGGATACCCACACTGACAGCCAGACCTGGGACAGTGCCAACCCCTCCCCTCCCAGCCCACAGCCCTGGGAGAAGGGTCTGAAGCCTCACATCATCGTGTACCCCCAAGTCGACACCTGCCCCCAACCTGTGCGCTCCCAGGAATCTCCACACAAGCCCTTCTCAGCGCAGCTTGGCAGAGCTGCCTCCCCCCCCCCCGCCCCCACAACCAGCCTGTTTCCCACGGCCCCTGCCTTCCAGTCCAGCCACACCTCTGCTCCACCTGTCTCACGAGACCTGTCATCAGCCTGCCCCGTCCTCTCCTCGCGGACCAACCCGTGTTGCTTGCTCTTCCAGGAAGCCTCTGGGAGCCGCCTGCAGCCCTGGGCCGGCCGGCCCGCTGTGATGCTCTGCTGAACGCGGACGGACCCTGCCTCCCCAGCTTATCCCAGGCCATAGGCGGCATGCCACTGTCCCCCGCAGCGCCAGTCCTCCCTGCTTGGCTGTTACGGTGCTGGTAATAAACCTCGCAGCCCAGGTCCAGGGCTCCCGGCGCGCCGGCCCCAAAACCCTGCCCCTGCTCCTCCTGCCCTTCCCTGTCGGGCCCCCTCCTCCCTCAAAACCCGCTGCTGAAGCGGCGCTGCGGTCTGCGGCCACGCGGGGGCGCGCGAGAGCTCTGCGGGCGCCGGGACCTGCAGACCCCGCCTCTGTCACTTGGGAGAAGCCCGCCCGGCACCACGTACCCCTGGGAATAAAGGCCAAGCCGCGACCGTCAGCACGGGGAAGTCTTTTCCCTAAAGCCTGCCAGCTTCCCGACGGTCCCACCATTGGCACCAGCGCGGGATAAATTTCTATCTCCTTGCCAGGCTTCACAAGCCCGGGGACCCCTCCATTCTCGCTGGGGTGGGCCCTGGGTGGAAGGCTGGTCAGTCCTGGAAAAGGGGTGAGCTTCCTAAGAGGAGGTGGGGAAGGCATGAGGGGGCTCTTTGTGAATGACAGGGAAGCAGCATCTGTAAGCCACAGTGCTCGGCAAGAAATAACATCAAACAAGGCGGAAACATGGCAGTGAAAGTCACGTTGATTGACTCTGACACGGGACTTGGGCGGCCGTGGCCAGGAGCCGAGGGACCCATCCCCACCTATTCTCCTGTGCATTAAGAGCATGGGCTATGGAGTCAGAGAAACTCGTGTTCCAGCCCCGTCCCCCATCCAGCTGCCTTGACATTGGCAAAGCAGTTGATCTTCCCCAGCCTCAGTTTCCTCACCTGTAAAGTAGGATCATGAGGACCGTGCCCGCCTCCCTGGGGTACCCAAGAATGAGGTGGACACAGTAAGGGGAGGGGGTGTGGCACAGAGGCTGGCCCCAAGCAGGAGCTCAAGGATGGCAGCCCCTGGGGGGATTCAAATCCTGTCTTGGGAGGTGCTGGCGTGTCACTGCCACTCTGCAGAGTAAACCAGCCAGGGCACTGGGAGGTGAAGCCTGTGAAGTCTGAGTTGGTCAGATCTGCCTATTTCCCCACCTACGAAGCCCGAAGCCCCCAGCCCCCACCCGGGTCTCCTGCTTCTGCCTGTGGCTTCAGCACCATCCAGTCCCCAGGGCCCATCCCAACCTGTTCTCCGAAGCAGCCTGACCGGCTGCCAGGGGCTGAAGTCCTGCCTCGGCCTGAAGAGCCTGGACTTTGGCCTGGTCTGGGGGCCCCCTTCCCCACAGTCCAATTGCTCTTCCTGGAAGGACTGCCCCAGTCCCCATGCCAGTGCCTGCAGACACACCCCACGATACCCAGGCCAGCTACCCACCCACACCAGCTCTGGCTCTATGGCTGGGCCTTGGGGGACAGGGGCGGGACACTCCCTGAACAGGCCCATTCCAGTCTCAGCCCACCTGAGCCTGTCCCACCTGGCCAGAGGAGACCAGGTGGAGCCCACATCCACGTCCTCGGAGTGGTGAGCACTCACAGGTGCCAGCACTGCCACTGCAACACCGGTCTCCAAGAGAAGCCCCGCCTTCCTCTGAGCCCGGCCACCACCATTCTGGTGTCCTGCGCCCCGTTAGTTGGCTTCGCAGGGGCTGGGCCAACAGGAGCTGTGAGAATTGCTTCATCCACAGAAGAAGAAAAGAAACAGGAGAAAGAGACAGGAAAATAACCAGGCCTATCTCAGATTAAGTATTCCATTACTCCAGACATCTGGTGTCACACAGGCACCACTGAAAGAGTCCTGGTCGCTGGCTGAACCCTCGAATATCAAGCTCCCTGTGTCAGGAGCACCGGGGCTGAGGCCTGGCGGCAAGAGTAGGGGGTGGTTGTCGTATCCATGCATGCCTGGGTGTAAAACGTTGTGGCTGCCGCCCTGAGCAGCACAGTCCTGATTCAAATCCAGCTCCCCTTCTCCCACCTGCTCTGTGGCCCTGAGCGAGTTGCTGACCTCTCTGGGCCGGTTCTCACCTCTAAATCCAGGACGAGGACAGGACCTGTCTCTTAGGATGGCCTCAGTGATAACGTGAGCTAATATCAAAAACAGCTAAGAACAGGGCCTGGTGCGTGGAAGGCCTGCGTGTTAGGAAGAGACAGGATGGCAATTACCTTGTATCACATTGTGAGAAAGTCATCTGCTCTTTTAGACCCACCTCCAAGCCTTCTTGCTTCTCTGGCAAAATCTTTCTGGTCCATGAACCCCACCAGAGCCCTGAGCCTGCTGGCTTTCTTCTGTGGCGTGAAGAAAGTCAGCAGGCTCGGGGCCCTGACAGCAGGCACAGTGGAGGATGAGCTGTTGCCACAGCTTTATTCGCCTGTCTTTGTTTTTATAATCACCTTCAATTTTTGGGTAGTGCCACTAATTTTCTGTTGACATCTATTTTTTCTTTCTCCCTTTTAAAATTAAATTAAGGGATCTCTTGACAGTCCTTTAAAAAGTCTTTTTTTTTTTTTTTTTTTTTTTTTTGAGACAGAGTCCCTGTCACTCAGGCTGGAGTGCAGTGGCATGATCTCAGCTCACTGCAATCACTGCTTTCTGGGTTCAGGTGATCCTCCTGCCTCAGCCTCTCAAGTAGCTAGGATTACAGGGCACCTGCCACCACACCCGGACTAATATTTGTATTTTTAGTAGAGATGGGGTTTCACACTGGCCTCCAACTCCTGACCTCAACTAATCCACCCACTTCAGCCTCCCAAAGTGCTGGGATTACAGGCAGCGAGCTACTGCATGCAGCCAAAAATGTCTTTAAAAAAATTAAATTAGCCAGCACATGCCTATAATCCCAGCACTGTGAGAGGCAGAGGCAGGAGGATCACAAGCTCAGGAGTTCGAGACTGGCCTGGGCAATATAGTGAGACCTCATCTTTACAAAAAGTTGTAAAATTAGCCAAGTGTGTGGCACATGCCTGTAGTCCCAGCTACTCAGGAGGCTGAAGTGGGAGAATCCCTTGAGCCTGGGAGGTTACAGTCAGCTGAGCTTGTACCACTGTACTCCAGCCTGGGCAACAGAGCAAGACACTGTCTCAAAAAAAAAAGTCATATTAAGTAACAAAGAATGAGTTGATTTCAAGAGAAATGTTAAATAATGAAGGCAGCTGGGGGACGTGACAAATTATAAACAAGAGATTGGTCAACAGCAGACCTGCTGGGGTCATCAGGCTCCGGCCCACCTCCTCCACCCAACTACCATGTGTCCAGCCCAGGAAGCTTCTGGAGGGCAGCACTGGCCTCCCATGAGCAGCATCCAAAGATTCCCCCCAGTCTTCCCTGCCGAATGCACGGTGTTTCCCGGGCACCCTGCACCCTTCCTGGCAATCGGATGACCAAGTTCAGAACTGCTCAACACTGACCTTGCAATTGACTATGCAAAACTCATTTTACCATCAGCCTTGCTGAAACAGCCTCGGAAGAAAACCACAGGTGACGCAAACCATGCACTGCATCCTGGAGCCACTCGGAGCTAACTGGGGACGAGTCACACGGAGGCATCATCCACGCAAACATGTCCACCCAGATCCTCCTGTGAATTTAGCCCGTCCAGGTGCCAACAGTAACACACAAATCATCCGGGTACTGACTGGGAGGCTTCTTGCAAGGCAGGTGGTACCACCGAGACACAGAAAGCCGGCTTGCGGACAGGCGCAGTGGCTCACACCTGTAATCCCAGCACTTTGGGAGGCCGAGGCAAGTGGATCACCAGAGGTCAGGAGTTCAAGACCAGCCTGACCAACATGGTGAAACCCCATCTCTACTAAAAATACAAAAATTAGCTGGGAGTGGCGGCACCTGCCTGTAATCCCAGCTTCTCGGGAGACTGAGGCAGGAGAATTGCTTGAACCTAGGAGGCGGAGGCTGCAGTGAGCCGAGCTCCAGCCTGGGTGACAGACCGAGACTCCATCTCAAAAAAAAAATGATTAGCTGGGCAGGGTTGTGGGTGCCTGTAATCCCAGCTACTGGGGAGGCTGAGGCAGGAGAATCACTTCAACCCAGGAGGCAGAGGTTGCAGTGAGCCAAGATGCACCATTGCACTCCAGCCTGGGTGACAAGAGCTGTCTCAAAAAAAAAAGAAACCCAGCTTGGTTAAGAGGTCCCTCCAGGGTAGAGTCCGCTCTGTATGCTGTCACCAGGAGGCGGCGCTCTTGGGCCCCTCAACATTCCGGGAAGCCTTCCTCAAGCACCTTTTGAAGCAGTGAGAATTGAGAACCCCCTTCTGCTCCTCCAGCTCCTCCTCCTCCTCCTCTTCTCTGAAAAAGCTTCAGTCCTGCTGAGACTCAGCTTTGGGATAATGGTCAAGGAAAATTGTTAGCTGAAGTCTTAGATGGACTCCCAAGTGAGCACTGGTAGTTCAGAGAAGAGAACTGGAACCCTCAGGGCGAGGTTTTTTGGGGATCCCCTGAGGGAAGGGATCAATAGTCCCATCCCTAACACAAAGACCACCCTGGATCAGCGGTTTCCAAATCTGAGCAAGCCTCAGAATCACCTTGTGAGAACCGGTGCGGGGTGGGTACACACATCCACTCCCACACTCCTGAACTTGCAGGCCTGGGGTGGGCCTGAGACTCTGCATTTCTGACCAGAGCCCGGGTGATTCTGCTGCTGCTAGCCTGGGCCCCACACTCCAGAATTGCTGCACCTGATAAAGGTTATGAATAAATGAATGCATGAGTGAGTGAACGCAGGTCTAGCCCGCCCTCCTCAGGTTTAGACAGGATGAAAAGGCAGCACCAGCCCTGCGTCAGGCCCTGGGCAGAGGAGGGAGGAGACACAGTCACCTCCAGGCTCAATCCCTGTAGGGCCTGGCCAGCCCCTTCCCAGAGAGGCGCTGCCTGCGTATGCAAACAAGCCCTTTCTTTCCAGAGTCCCGGAAGCACGGGCCCACCTTCTCTCCTCTGCACTGACGTCCAGCCTCGGTCAAAGGCAGGGGCTTCCTTTTTTCAATCTCAGCCTTTTCTTGGGTCCCGGGAGGGAACAGGAGCAGTTGTAGGTTCCTGTAACCGACAAGTCTGCTCGCGAGGCGGTCCTGGGCTCCCCATCTTTGCAAAGGGCGGGTTCGTCTCCCACAACCGGATCCTAAGACCTAATAGCCATGCCCGCGGCTTCCGACCTAGGAGCTGCAAATGCCCTGGTGCGGGGCGGTAGGGGGACACTCTCTGGGGAAAGAAACAACAGGAATTACTCTGCCCCCAGCCCCAGGCCCGCAGAGGACCGGAGTGAGGGTCCCGGGTTCCCCAGGCCAGCATCAGGGATGGAGCAGGGCACCACGTCCCGACCCCTGCCCCGGCTCCCACCAGGAGGGATGTCAAGGCGAGGGAGGATTCCCGGGGTGCAGCCCAGTCCGTCCGCGGGCTTCTTCGGGACCAGCGGCCTCCCCTACCCGACGCCAGCCGTCCGAGGTGAGCGAGACACCGCCGCGGCGCGGGGCTGCAGGAGCATCTGTTGCCATGGTTACGGGCGGCGCTGCGCTCGCGCCGGCAACCCGGGGACCCCGCGTCGCCGCCGCCGCCACCGCAGTCCGCGAAGCCCAGAGCCGGGGCTCGGGCCGGACCGGGACACGCGCGCCCCGCACACACGCCACACACTCTGCACCCAGCACGCTGCGCACCCGCGCACTCACGGGCACGCTCGTGCGCTTGCCACCCATCCCCCACCCAGACACAGACTCAGGACACACAGCGCACGCACCCGACACCGTGTGCACCGCCCACACCACGCCCAGCGGCTCACGCGCCCGAACGACACACTTCGCACACACCGCCGGACGCGCCGCGGCCCTGTACTCACCACATCACGCACCCACCCCACACACCCACTCGGGACCCCGACGCGAAGGGACAAGCCGTGGGAACGGCCCTCGGGGCGGCCGAAGCGCGCAGGGCTGGCGGCGGGGGTCGCACCCGGGTCCGCGCACGCGCAGCAGGCTGGTCCCCCGCCTCCGCCCCTAGCCCGGCTTTGCGCGCGCCCCGCCGCCGGAAAGCCTGGGTACTGCACCCCAGGCCCCGGCGCAGCCCACGCGCAACCCGCCCGGGTCAGAGGCGCCCGCGCCTGGGCCGCCGGGGACGCGCTCCGGCGACCGGGCCTCGGGACCCCCACCCCCGGGACGCCTCCGTCCCTAGCCCGGACCGCGTCCTGAAGGAGGTCGCCCCTCTAGCCCGTGGGGTGGGAGGAGGGACGGGGCACCTCCGGAGCGGGGCAGGGACCCGGGCCCCTCGCGCAACCGCAAAGCCGGGAAAGCGATCCCCGAAGGCCCAGAGTCTCTCCCGGCTAATCAGGCCACGTTTTTGGCTTTGGTTTTGGTGACAGATCACTGTGTGACTTTTGGCTTCAGTGTCTGAAGAGGTTCAAACAGTGGAGAGACGTAAACGGAGCTGCCCTTCACCACGGATCAATTTACATAAACGAATTTTCTCACGGTCCAAGCCCATGAAAATAAAAGCAGGTTTGGAATTGATTCTGGACTGTCTCACATAATAAATAATATTTATCTAGTGACACCTGCACCATTGGGAAGAGACAGTCCCATCCATCTCATTGAGGTATAGTCCAACAAAAATTTAACTTTTATGTATATAATAAACATAATCTGCAATTTTAATTTATTTATGCTAGTTTGAGCAATTTAATATTCAATCCAGAATAAATTTCATAAATACTGAGAGCCTTAGAGTCACAGGAAATAAAATATTTTAAATCTAAATTATGATTCAAATAATATTTCTAGATCTGGTCTAACTAAAAGGATTTACTTGACGAGCATTTTTGAGACATCGGTTAATATTTTTTAAAGTTTGAATAATTGATGTGCCTGCTCTTGTTACAGACACATGCTTGGGTGATCGGTGAATTACTTTCAAACATAAAAATATTTCTTATTAAAATAAGGTTCTGTGTAAGAAATGAAACAGAACCCAGAGGTAGAGGAGAAAAGAATCAAAAAGAACCTGCACTTACATGGGGTCACATTCTACCTTATTAGATACGCTTAAAAGGATTGCCCAAGGCAAGCTGGAGACAGACTGCACTTAGAAAAAAAGCTTTCTTGCAAAGGAGTCAGACTTCAGAAGGACTGGCTCACCAAAAACGAAAAGCCACAAGTACTTAAAATTTAAAAACCCAAGAGAATCAAGGTTGGTAAGTTTACACTCCTCCTTCCCTGGTGGGTGGCGGCAGCTTCCTCACGTGATTATGCTAATCCTAAGAGCCAGGGCGCGGATGGGAAGAGCAAAGGTCAGAGCTGAAACTCCTGTTATTGTAGAGCGCAGTCTGCAGGAAGTAGTTAAGGTTTTATAATTTGGGGACTGTGATTTTTGGTTTATCTCAGATACAACGTGGTTTGCCGGCTTGCTTTGGTTTCAACTGAGGAATTGTGACTTCTTCAGTGATATTGGAAGCAGGATAAAATGTCAGGTTCGGCTTCTACAGAGTGAACAGCTGTTTTATTTTTTAAATGTCAGATTTACACTGGACATCATATACTTTGCAGCCATGCGAATGTCATGGTGAAAAAATGGTAGCTGTCCATCTTAAAAGGTGTCAAGGGCAATTTAAAAATTCTTTTCCAGGCCATGTGGGTGAAGACACACGAAGGCCATGACACTGGACCAGTTCCTTTTTGGACAGATGGAGAAACTGAGGCTTAGGGGAGGAGAGTGACCTGACAAGGGAGGCAGTGGAAACGCCCAGCAGCCCAGGAAAGATGGCCCCCCACACACACCCCGTTATGAGGGAAAAGTACATCAACACCACCGAGAGATGCCCCTGCACACCCCCTAGGATGGCTACAACTTTTTATTTAAAAAAAAAAAAAAGCAAGGCGGGGTGGCTCAAGCCTGTAATCCCAGCACTTTGGGAGGCCGAGGCAGGTGGATCACGAGGTCAAGAGATCGAGAACATCCTGGTCAACATGGTAAAACCCCATCTCTACCAAAAATACAAAAATTAGCTGGGCATGGTGGTGCACGCCTGTAGTCCCAGCTACTCGGGAGGCTGAGGCAGGAGAACTGCCTGAACCCAGGAAGCAGAGGTTGCGGTTAGCCGAGATCGCGCCATTGCACTCCAGCCTGGGTAACAAGAGTGAAACTCTGTCTCAAGAAAAAAAAGAAAAGAAAAGAAAATAACAAGTGTTGGTAAGGAGGGGAAATGTTCCAGCCTCGTCGACTACAGGCAGGCGTGGAAAACCATGCATCTGCTGCAGAAAATTTTGACAGTTCCTCGTAAGTTACACATGGAATAATTGATTGAATTTTTTAAATTATTTGAATTAATTTATTCACACTTATATTTTAGATGGAATTTTGCTCTTGTTGCCCAGGCTGGAGTGCAATGGCGCAATCTCGGCTCACTGCAACCTCTGCCTCCCAGGTTCAAGGGAGTCTCCCGCCTCAGCCTCCTGAGTAGCTGGGATTACAGCCGCACACCACCAGGCCTGGCTAATTTTTTGTATTTTTAGTAGAGATGGGGTTTCACCATGTTGGCCAGGCTGGTCTTGAAGTCCTGACCTCAGGTGATCCACCTGCCTTGGCCTCCCAGAGTGCTGGGATCACAGGCGTGAACCACCACGCCCAGCCTCAAACTTTTAAAAATAGTAATGTATGTCTTTTAAAATGCTCATCAAGTAAACTCTTTTAGAGTTAAATTATATCTGGAAATATTAATATTTGAATCAGAATTTAAATTTAAAATTTCCTATGTACACATATGACTCAGCAATTCCACTCATGGGTATACACCCAAAATCATTGAAAGCAGGTGTTCAAAGAAAAACCTGTACACAGATGTAGCAAGCAGCATCATTCACACTCACCAAAAGGTAGAAACTAATCGAATGTCCATCAAAGATGAATGGACAAACAAAATGTGGTCTTACTATATAATGGAATATTATTTGGCCATGAAAAGGAAAGAAGTACTTAGCTGAGGATGGTGGCTCATACCTGTAACCCCAGCACTTTGAAAGGCCCAGGCAGGAGGATTGCTTGAGCCCAGGAGTTCGAGACCAGCCTGGGCGACATAGCAAGACCCTGTTTCTACAAAAAGAAGCGAAAAAAATAGCCAGGCATCATGCCACATGCCTGTAGTTCCAGCTACTCGGGAGGCTGAGGTGGGAGGATCTCTTGAGCCCAGGAGGTCAAGGCTGCTATGACCATACCACTGAACTCCAACCTGGGTGACAGAGGGACACTCTATCTCAAAAAAAAAAAAAAGGAATGAACTACTGATACATACTATAACATGAATGGACCTTGAAAAACATGCTCAGTGAAAGAATTCAGACATAAAAGGCCACTATTGTATGGTTTCACTTTTAGAAAATATCCAGAATAGGGCCGGGCCCGGTGGCTCACACCTGTAATCCCAGCACTTTGGGAGGCCGAGGTGGGAGGATCACGAGGTTAAGAGATCAAGACCATCCTGGTCAACATGGTGAAACCTCGTCTCTACTAAAAATACAAAAATTAGCCAGGTATGGTGGTGCATGCCTATAATCCCAGCTACTTGGGAGGCTGAGGCAGAAGAATTGCTTGAACCCAGGAGGCAGAGGGTGCAGTGAGCCGAGATTGTGCCACCACACTACAGCTTGTCAATAGAGCAAGACTCCATCCCAAAAAAAAGAAAGAAAATATCCAGAATAGGTAAATCCTTAGACAAAAGGAGACGGGAGGTTGCCGGGGGCTGGGGAGGAGGATGGGAAGTGACGCTAATGGATTTCTTTTTGGTATAATAAAGATGCTTTGGAGTGAGATAGTGGTGATGGTTGCATAACATTGTAC